AGAACCCTATCTTGCGTACACTGGTGTTCAGAAGGGATGGACTCGGTGAGGAGACAACGGAGCCATCTTCAGGCAAAGGAGAGGGCGGAGGAGCAGAGGAGCCAAAGCGGAGACCAACAGGGGTAACTAAAGGTTGACTCCGCAGCCCTCTACAGGGACTAAGGACAATGGAATGAGGACCAGACTGTTGCCACCTCTGTCCCCAACACCCCAGCCAGCTGCAATCCGCAGGGAAAAGGGAAAGCCATCTGAACCGACCACACTTACGTTTCTGCCACCAGCCATGTCGGGGCAAAGGAGAAATGAAGTTTCCTGCACACCCGAGTTTGGCCTGAGATTATACATTGTACGTTACCCTTAATAAATATGAGTTAAATGGAAATGTGGAACAGAACTGAGCCCGAGATCTGCAGTGTCAGGAATGAGCTGATGGACTCCAAAACCTGCAGTCCCATTGCCTTTCCCAGGCGGCTCTGGGGCCCCTGAGACTGTCGTTTGGAAACATTTGGTCAGAGAAATAAAATCCCAGGAGGAATCCTGAATAAATCTTGTGATATCCCCCCACGGCCCCCTTCACTGCCAGGGCCACACCCCTGAGGCTCCCCAAGCACCCAAAGCAGGCTTCTCCATCATCCAGCACTCACCCCTTCCCAGCCAGTGCCCTCAGCCCTTGGCCAAGACCTGGACACCAATGAAAGAAGCCACCATTTATCATAAATGCCATCGACATCAATACTGGCTCCTGCTTACAGAGCAGGCACCGCAGGTCAGGATGACATGAGGACCTTCTCAGGCATAAGGACCCAGCTAGTCAGAGATGTTAAAAGGCTCACTCAGTGAAGTCAGGCCCAGTGACTCTAGAGTCCCAGGTGAGCAGAAGGAAGCATGGCCAGGATGGGTCACCTGGCTCCTGCAGCTGCAGGCAGTTCTGTACCAGCTAGGCCGGATCCAGAGCCACCCCGAGCCTGCAGGACCTATACTGGGCCTACCCGTGGGCAGGAGGAGACACTTGAGATTCAGGAAGCCCATTAAACAAAGAGGAATAACCCCTGAGCACTAAGGTGGGAGGAGCCTGGATGCCTCTAATTTGTAGTCCTCAGTGCTTCCTTCCCCTGCTGAATTATTCATGTCCACAGCCAGGCAGCAGATCAATAATGCAGGAGGCAGAAGCCCTGGCAGGCCCAGCTTCCAGCAGACCGGCTCTGCCCTGGGTTCCAGGGAGGGACTCTGTGGTGTGGGCAGGCCTCTGGACCGGGGCACTGTCCTCAGGGCTCCAGACTGGGAGCTGGGCTGCAAACATACCCTGGAAGGGGACCTTTGTACAATTTCTGAACCTCCTCCACCTGGAGGGGTCCGTGTGTCCTTAAGCACAAAGAAACTATGGGTACAGATCCAACCCCTGGAGTAGGAACTCCCACCTCAGGATGAAGGTGAAAGAGACATCCCCTCTAGGGCCCAGAGTCCGGAGGGTAGAGAGTCAGGAGAGCCAGAGAGTTCATTCTGGTTACGAGAAGTTTTCATCCAAGCAGTAGCTTTAAGACACCTGTTTGACTTTCCAGCAGATTCCAGCAGGTCCATAGTGCATGGGGCAGAGGCTGGGGAAGTTTCATGCTTCCTTGGGAATGGTGCTTTTGGGGGCACACCCACCATTATGACCCTCTGACTTCCACCCACACGCATGTGCCCCCTACACACAGGCCACAGCCTTGCTGGCAAACACTTTGGGGAGAGGAGTGCAGACCTCTTCTGCTGTGAAATGCCAAACTTATCTGGGGTTTCTCTCTTTGTCCTTCTCTTTGTGTCTCAGTATTGCCTAGATTTTTCTCAGTTTGTTACAGTAGATCCTGGTAATAAGAAGGAAAGGAAAATGACTGTTATTTTTGGAGGGGAGATAAAAGCCCCGTTGGAGAAGGTGCACCTAAGGTGAGACCAGCTAGCACCTCTCCAGGCATCCAAACCAGAGCTTCCCCAAACTTAACATGTAGATGAACCCCCCACGGATCTTGTTAGAGTTTAGGCTGTAGCCTGGGTTTCTGCATTTTTGCCAGTTGCTGCTGAAGGCCAAGCTAATGGTCCAGTGACCGCGCTTTGAGTAGCGAGGCTCAAGAGTCTATCCCAGTGGCTCCCAACCTCAAAAGGGCATTGGAATAACCACTGAAAAGCTTTTAAAAATCCAGATGTTCCAGCCACACCCCAGACATTTAAACCAGATTCTCTAAGGGTGGCAGCCAGGCCTCAGCATTTCCTGAAGCTCCAGGTGATTCCATGGTACAGCCAGGATTGAGAAGCCCACTCGACACCAGCTCAGCTCACTCCTTCACTTGAGGACACAGCCCCAAAGAGAGGCCAGGGGTCTGCCCACAGTGACAGGGACAGTGAGGGAAAGTTTTGGGGGCCTGAGCCAGAGAGCTTTCCGGGGCACACAGGGTTGTCTCCTATCATGTGCCGGGGAGTGGGGAGGAGGCAGATAGGACTGGGGATGGAGGACACTGGGGCTTCAAGGGTCAGGACAGGGTGCCCAGAACCGCCCAGACTCTGGGATGCTCTCCAGGCTGGAGTCAGGCTGTGCTCCCCACATGTATCAAGCTCTCATGCTTCACCTGGAGGAGCCTGCCATCAGGCTTCCAGCAGCCCTGTGGATTCACAGAGCAGATTATCACCCCACTTAGAGAAGGTGAGTTGGGGTTCAAAGAGGCCAGATCCGGGATCCCTGGGTGGCGCAGCGGTTTGGCGCCTGCCTTTGACCCAGGGCGCGATCCTGGAGACCCGGGATCAAATCCCATGTCGGGCTCCCGGTGCATGGAGCCTGCTTCTCCCTCTGCCTGTGTCTCTGCCTCTCTCTCTCTCTCTCTCTGTGTGTGACTATCATAAATAAATAAAAATTTATTAAAAAAAAAAAAGAGGGATCCCTGGGTGGCGCAGCGGTTTGGCGCCTGCCTTTGGCCCAGGGCGCGATCCTGGAGACCCGGGATCGAATCCCACGTCGGGCTCCCGGTGCATGGAGCCTGCTTCTCTCTCTGCCTGTGTCTCTGCCTCTCTCTCTCTCTCTCTGTGACTATCATAAATAAATAAAAAAAAAATTAAAAAAAAAAAAAAAAAAAAAGAGACCAGATCCCTCATCCCAGGGTACAGTCATCTGTCATGAGGCCTGTGCATTGTGGAAGCTCTAACTTTTCCCTCACTGATTGTAAGACACGTGTACTACCTGCTTCCCGTGCAAAGTTTCTAAAATTGGGTTGTGTCTGACAAATGATGCTTTCAGACTACCAAGCCAGGCACTCAGGCGATGTGATTGTTCCTGGCAGTGCCCCTGGGTAGGAAGTGTCCATCACCTTAAATTGGCAGCATTACACTGGTAGCATCTCATCTTCATTGGGATCCGTGGGTAATGTTTTAAATATCTTTGGAAATGTCATGAGAGGCTCCTGGTGGAGGCCACCTTCCTGCTCTCAGTTCCCCTGACCTCCCAGGACAGGCTTCTGCCCCAGGTTCCCTCCCTGCGGCCCTCATCTACCCAGGGCACATTCACTTACCCTACCCCCAGGAACTTAACTCTCTCCTTCCTTCCAGAACTTTCCCTTTAGGTCAAAGGTCATATGGTCCAGAAAACTGTCCTTTTCATCTTTGTGTCCTCAGGGTCCAGTACACGGCCTGGTATGTAGTCGGTGCTTGATGTAGAGGCAGTTTCTAGGCAGCAGGTGTGAGCACTGGAAGCTGAGTGAGGTAAAAGGGCCGCAGGGACAACCGGGCTGAGTGCAAACAGACCTATCAGGTGACCCAACCTGAAATAACCATAGGCCCTAATTAACCAATTACAACCGGGCACAGTTCCTAAGATTACCAAAAAAGAACAAATTCCCTACGTTCCTGGCTCCCTCACTCTGCTCTATAACTGTGACCCCTCACCACCACCTCGTCCCAGTCTCTTCCCCGTCCTGCCCGCTGCTCCCTTACAGTGTATTCAATAGACTTCTATCTCCTTTGTCCTGCCTTGGGTGAATCCTTTCACCACCCGCACCACTAGCCCCCATCCGATTGGGACACCCCACATTTGGTGCCACCTGCCATCTGATCAGAGCACCCCACACTTAATAGAGGTTTATGGAAGGAGAGAGGGAGGGGGCCTAGCCCAGGGTCCTTTGGGGAACCTCCCTCCCACTCTGGGGCAAAGGTGGCTGCTTCCTTCTTGGCTCTCTCAGTATCTGCTTGCTGTGTCCCTTCCAAATTTCTATGTTGAAATCCTACCCCTCAAGGTGAGTGTTAAGAGGTAGGGCCTTTGGGAGGGGCCTAGGTCAACAGCATTCTGGGATTAGCGCCCTTATAAAAGAAACCCCAGAGGGGGAGGGGGAGGGAAGGAAAGGGGAGGGGTGTCACTCTGCCCACACTCACCTCCCCGCTCAGCCTGCCCTCTTGCAGGCAAGGCATGGAAGCCTCCTCCCCCCTCCCCTCCCCCACCCCGACTAACTTGCCTTTCCTTCCATAGGGCTTTCCTCTCTGGGTAGCAAAGTGTGGCAGCAAGATGGGGTCAGCCCTAGGGAAAGGGTCAGTTCACCAACATTTATTCAGCACCTCCTATGTGCCAGGCATGGTGTGACCTGGCACAGGTCCCCGACCATCTTGGCGCCTCAGTTTACCAATCTGAACCAGGGGATGACACTCGTAGCCCCTAGGATTTACCCATGTACATGAAGTGCCCAGCAGGTGCCGGGCTGTCAGCAGGTGTCGGTTTCCTGCTCTCTTCTCTCTGCTCCTGAGGTCTTTGTCCAGATGCAGAAAGAACAGCTGAGGAAGGACGGGACTGGCATTCCTCATTAGGGAAACTGAGGCCCAGGGAGGACAGACTTGCCCAGGGGACCACCTTGACTGTGCCCTAGTTTCCCCTTGCCCAGCTCCCAGCCCCAGCCCTGGAACCCTGGAACCCACAGGCTGAGTGAATTCTGCTCGTGCCCCCGTGGTTTGGACCCCCTTGGCCCTGGCGGCACAAAGACACAGGCCCGTGGTGCATGTTTACTTTCAGCTTTATTTCTTCCCAAGCCAAGCGATACAGAGGGGCCACCTGCCGGGTGGCGGTGGGGGTAGTTCTCCCCCTGGGACACAGGGAGAGGCTGCGTCAGCGCCCCAAGCTGGAGGACCGCCGGGTTCATGTGGCCAGCGGCCGGACCTCCAGTGGAGGTGGGACAGCAAGGGGTGAGGCCTCGGGGTGCCAGGCTGCCTGTGGGTGGAGGCGTCAGGGGACTCTCCCCCCCCCCCCCCAGTCTCTCTGCAGTGTTCCTGGTCCTCTGGCCAGAGGGATCAGACTCCAGGGGCCTCTGCCTCCACAATGCTCAGAGCCTCTGAGCTCCGTCCTTGGTACAACTACAAGTTTCCCAAGTTGTCCTCTCCTGAACGGAAGGACGCCCCCGCTGTCCTGTGGCTGTCTGCCAGTGGCTTCTCTCTTCTGGGCTTTGAGTGTGGACAGGTGTGTGCCTGTGCAGATCCAGGGCAGGTCTGGGTGTGTATGCCAGTCACAGCACCAACCCCGCCTTGGCCATCATTTTCCGGACAGGACCATGCCTAAACCAGCTAGTCACCCTCTCTCTTCCCCCCCTGGGGTGCTGAAGCTGTGGTCCCCAGGGCTTGCCAGGAGACCACCAACTCATGAGCGACCAGTTCCATAGACCTCATGACAGCTCCTGGCCCAACCTGACTTGGCAAGTGACACAAATACTCTGGGCTCCCTCTCTCCCTCCCCCAACAGAGACATCTCTATTTGGGCCTCAGAGGTCCTGTAAAGCAAAGCCAGCCCCTCCTTCTGGAGTTTGCTCCCTGGGTGAGGAACTGAGGAACTGACGCTGGAACAGGAATGCTGGGCCCCAGAGGGATCTGCCCAGTGCCCCTGGGCCCTGCATCCCTCCCCTGCCACCAAGGCCCTTCTAGAAGGTTCAGAGCTGCACTTGGGACTCCTCCTGGTAGACAGAGCCTCTGTGCTAACAGGCTGCCTCCCAGGAGCTTTGAGGAGTGTCGGGGAGACAGGCAGGGGACCTGAGAGAAGGCACGAGGGCTCTGAATGGGTGCCGGGGAAACCATTTCTGCCAGCCTGGGGCTAGTCTGGCTGTGGCTGGGAACAGGCCCTCCCAACAGGGGCCATAACGCCCACTGGCTACTGGGCAGGGCCTGGGAGCTGAAGCCAGCAAGGTAGGTGGGCCTAGGAGAAGCCCCTGTGGGCAGAGCCTGTGCCAGTAGAAGTCTGGGGAGAATCCCAGGGCAAGAAACCAGGCAGGAGGTCAAAGGACCCTGCTCAGTCCTTTCAGTTGTCAAATTAGGTCCTGACACAGAAGCCATAGTGTCACTCCCTGCCTCCCGGCACATGAGTGTATTCCCAAGCCCAGGGCCTCCCACTCTCCCAAAGACTGGCCCCTACAGCCAGGCCCTTCCCTCCATCTTAGAACTCTCTAGACCAAATCAACACTAAACCTTCATCAAACCCTCCAGCCCACTCCCTGCTAATAGCCTGGGAGCCCATGGGAAGTCCCCCACCAAAGGTGTTCCCAAAACCCCCTCTAGGGAAAGCCTTTGTAGTCTGTGGATGGCCAGGGACACAGGGTAAAGCACAGAGTATCAAGGGCTTCTGGGCTGGGAACTACTCTGCATGGGGTCCCAAGTTTGTACCCTAGACCATCAGGGAGACCGCCGCAGGAGGCAAGCTCAGGTCTGGGCTCCTCATGGGCTGAGCAGGTCTGGGGTCAGGCCCCAGGCAACGGCACAGGTAGGGAGGGAGCAAGAGGCAGGCTGGGTCATCCGGGGAGACGTGTTGAGACCGGAGCTCTCAGCAGAGATGATCCTGAAATTGAAAAGCTAAAGAAGAGGTGCAGTTCCTATTCCTGTCTTCACCAGCATTCCTTCTGGTGCCTCCACCCTGTGATGCATGGGGCCCGTCACCTCTCTCCAGGCACCTGCACATCTTGGGTGCCCAAGGAGGTCCCAGGGTGTGTGCTGGGCGGCAGCTGAGCCTCTGAGCTGGGATCGAAGCAAGCATGTGGCACGAGGCATGCAAATAATCTTTTTTACACCTGGGCACCCCCCCACCCCGCCCACAAAAATACAAAAGAGAAAGTCCCACGTCCTGGCTCCTGCTCATCAGACACACAGGGAATGTGCTGTTTCTCCTCTGCACGGTCCGGTCCATCTCCTCTGCATCTCCTCCGCGGGGCTGGTTCCCCTTCCGACAGGCAATATGTGCTGCTTGGTGGGTCAGGAGATCGTAGGGATAAGAAACAAGCCAGTACACCGAGGCCAAACACCGGACCGTGTCCATCAGATGAAACAACATTATTCGTTCTTCTTGCTTTTTGCATCTAATGTGGGCTGACAGTGGGGAGACCTGGGGGCTTCCCTTCAAGTTCGTGCTTTGGGGGCTCAGGGGCGTCACTGTCCTGTGCTCCCACGGGAGGTGGGGTGTGTGAGTTTGGAGGCCTCCAGCCGGCCAGGGCTGCCTCCACCAGCGCAGTGCCCCGGTTGGTTTTATTTCTTTGGAACTGTAAAGAGAACAGTCACGGCAGAAGAGAGCTCAGAACAGGCGTTCAAGTCCTTGCCTGGAGGATTTGGGGTTTTGTTTCCTAATGGGAAGAGGCAACAGGGTCCTCTGATTGCGGTGTCTAAACTCCCACCTGCAGCCTCAGCTGTCAGTTCACAGCGCCAGAGGACCCCCAAACATAGAACCATCGAGGCCTGAGTTTTTCAAACAATTCCCTTTGCCAGTTTGTTTTTTTTTTAATTTTTTTTAATTTTTATTTATTTATTTATGATAGTCACACACAGAGAGAGAGAGAGAGGCAGAGACAGGCAGAGGGAGAAGCAGGCTCCATGCACTGGGAGCCCAACGTGGGATTCGATCCCAGGTCTCCAGGATCACGCCCTGGGCCAAAGGCAGGCGCTAAACCGCTGCACCACCCAGGGATCCCATGCCAGTTTGAGTTCAATACTCATCCTTTGCCGTCAAAAAAGTCATGGCAAACGTGATAAGCAGCCACAGGACAAAGGAGGCTGAGGTGCACAGGGGGCTCCCCAGCTAATGCTCACACCAGCAGGCCCCTGCCCCTCATGTTCCTGTGCGGCCGCCAGCCCCACAGACAGCATAGGACGTGCTTCATTTCAAACACTTGGACAGTGGAGGATGTGGATTTGAAACCCAGGCAGGCTGAATACAAACTGAACTCTTCCCTCTCCAAAGTGTCCAGGGCTGCCCATGACCCCACCGCCGAATCTCAGGCTTTCTGCCCCAGGTTGAACCCTCCTGTTCTAAATCAGTGCCTCCTTTAATGACTGGACTGGAAATTTTACTGAAATGCAGACTCTTAGCTGAAATGCAGTGGGTTTGGGCTGGGGCCTGATACTCTGCGTTTCTGACACACTCCTGGTGTCAGCAGCCACTGCTGCTGGTCCACATGGCGCATCTGGAGTAGCCAAGTCTTTAGGGGAAAAGCTTAGGCTGTTCCCTGCAAGAGGCAGAGATGCTTGGGGGCTTCCCAAGGCGAGCATGTGACAATGCTGCCCTGCACAGCCCAGACGCTCAAAGCTGTGCTGGCCCATTGAGCAGCTGAGGGTCAGCTTTCAAAATGGTGCCCCCACTTGGTTAATTTCCCTGGGCCAACTCTGGGGGCTCACAGAGTGTTCCCCCCAGACTTCCACCACATGCATTGTTTATTCCCAGTATGTGCTGGCCATCGCAACAGGAATGCTTCCAGGGCGGGCCCACCATTCACCAAGCAGCATCACATCCATGACCTTGGGTGATGCTCACAAGGCTCAGCCAGACACGACACCAGCCCAAGTCCCTCAGAGCTGAGACTGGAGCTGGCTGCCTCCGACTCCCAGGCCTGTGCTTTTCCCATACCCTTTCCTAATGACCCGGGTGAAAGGCAAGTCAGAAGCCAGTCTCATTCAGCTGGGCACCACCGGGATAGGGTCACTTCTGAGAGAGGATCGGTCTATGTCCCCCATGTACTCTTACCTCATTCCCACTGCCCCCTCCCCAGGGAGCTGGGCTGCACCCTTCCGTAGTCCCGAGCAAGCTGGCTTGCTTGGCTCCCTGTGACAGGGCCTCACCTGTGAAGTTGACGGTCATGGCCACGATGATGATAATGATTCCCATGATGATGAAGGTGATGCTGAGCAGCCGGGCCAGGCGACCCAGCCTCCGAGCCCCATCCAGGTCCCCCTGTTGCACGCTACTTCGGGACTGCAAAGAGAGGGTGGTAGAGACCTCAGGAAAGCTGTTCCCTGCAGACCTGTGGGGGGGCCCCTGGCCTGGGCCTCCAGAACCCACCCAGCCTCCACTGCAGCCCACATTCCAGCACCTATCTTGAGGACAGGAAGCAGGCTTCTCCTGCTCAAGTGGCTCACATCTCTTGTGGGAACCCCCAACCGAGCCCACCCCTCACTGGAAACAGAACCAAGCAGTGCAGGGCACTTCCTCTCAGAGCAGTGCTGAGTCACAGTCTCAGTGGCAGGTGGCATAGTAGGGACCGAGAGTCTGGGAGGGTGGGCCAGGTCCAGGTCATGCTGAGCTGGCAGGACAGGTAAGCCCCCCCTCTGGAGCCCTGCCCAAGGCTCACTGCTATGGCCACCCTAACACAGCCCTATGGCTTTTTCTGTAGCCCGAGGGCCTGCCTCTATGACCCTGTCTTCCACAACAGGAAAAAATATTGATCCTCCCTCTTCCTATTTCCCACCCAGAAACCACGAGCTTCCTCAACTAAGCTGACTTCCCAAATCATACCAGAAAGGCAGGCATCTTGGGTTTGAATTGGAGAGGCTGGGGCTTGGGGGAAGAGGCCATGCCTGGCGTCACAGGGGTCCATTTGATACCTCACTCTTTCTCAGTGAGCTTGGTTTTTCTCAACCTTATTTAATTTAGTGAAAGCAGGTGGGTGAGTGTGGGGATGGCCAGCTCTTGGGAGGTCCTACAGGGGCTCGGTAGGAGGTGTGTCCCAAGTGTATCCATGGAGGCCCCACACCCCATCCATGATGGGTTAAGAATCAACCTGCTGACCAAGGCTGGCCTGTGACTTCCAGACTCCTCCAGCTCTAGAAGTCTCTGATGCTTCCTGGACTTCTAGAACAGATACAAGCAGGAGTCCACTAGAGGTGTGACTGCTTTCAAGGTATTAGGCCACTTATTTGGTTACTTTATTATCCAATTATCTGAGGCTCCTGAGTTCAACAGGAAATACAGTTGAGTCCTTTGATGATGGTGGTGGTGGTGGTGATGTCTTGAGACCTTACTTTGCACCAGGCAGGTTGCTAAGGACTACGCCTGAATCTCATTTAGGCTCAGAACACCCCATGCGCTTGGCTGTGTTGCCCACTTTTAAAGAAGCTGAAGTTCAGCAAAGATACCCCTCCCCTCTCTGTTCTCATCATGAGGGTGCCCTCCCTTCCCCACGTCCTGTCTTTTTCTCCTCTCAGAAACCTAACCAATCTCCCACCCCATGCCATGGCTCCCTGTTCAGGCTCCTTCCAGGACGGTGCCACCTGCCTGCCACAGTGTTTGACATCAGACTTGCTTTGCCTCAGATCTGCTCCTGGCCTTGTCCTCCTCTGTCCAATTATTGGTCACAGCCTGGAGTCCATCATCCCAGTTGGTCACAATGCCTGTCCCATCTATCCTACCAAGAGGTTTCCTCTCCTGGTCAATTCCACTGCAGTCTTCTCTGGCTGCCTTGCACCTGCCCTGGGTCTGGTTCCACTTCCCACCCAAGCCAGCACATTGGCCTCCTGAAGATCCATCCCCAGATCTACACTCTCTTCCTCTCCATGCCACTCCCCACACGACCATTCCCCTCCACAGAGATTTATGCCAGGCCCTGTGCTAGACCCCTGGCATAAATAGTCGTAGGGTGGGATCAGAGAGGAGGTGGAGGAGATCCCTGGGTGGCTCAGCTGTTTAGTGCCTGCCTTCAGCCCAGGGCGTGATCCTGGGGTCCCAGGATCGGGTCCCACATTGGGCTCCTTGCGTGGAGCCTGCTTCTCCCTCTGCTTGTGTCCCTGCCTCTCTCTCTCTCTCTCTGTGTGTGTGTGTGTGTGTCTCGTGAATTAATGAATAAAATCTTAAAAGAGAGAGAGAGGAAGTGGAGAGTTGGAAGCTGATGCACAAGTTTAAGAAGATGGTGACTTAGCCAGTGACCCTGCCCAGCATCTTCCATGGCCTCTCCACTGTTCACAGAACAAAGTCCAAACCCAGGTTAATGTTGCACTTCCAGATTTTATCCTCTACTCTTCCTTTCCACAACCTCAGGACCCAGCCAATCTGAATTGCTCCAGGTCTGAGCACCAACTCTCACATGCCTTTGGTGGTGCTCTCTCTCCTGCCAGCATTCCCACCTTTTCAACCAACGGTCCATATCGTCTCCGTCCTTCGATGGCTGCCCCAATGCCACCCCCTCTGTGAAGCCCACCAAGGCTCCTCCACCTCCACCAGAATAACAATCCCTATCATTATTCAAACATCTACCTTGTACCGAGAACCATGTTAAGTCCTTGTCATCCAGCAGAGCATTAGAGCACCTAACACTCCTATGAGTTAGGGAGTATTATTAGACTATTTTACAAATGAGAGGCTGGAGCACAGAGCACCACGCAGGTGTGAGAGAAGCAACTGGAGCAGAGAAGAGAGGCCAGGTCAGCAAGGACCCTGACTATCACAAAATGGAATCTGGATTCTGTCTTGTAGGTACTGGGTGTCCTACAACTAAGTAAGACAAATAGAGGATTTCATCAAAACGGAAGAAAGATCCAATCAGAGGAAGAGGGTGAAAAGACCCAGAGGTGACTGGTGCCCCAATGTCCTGAGTATTCCTGAGTTCTGAACCCCAATGTCCTGAACTCAGGGTAACAGAGAGATTTAGACTTGAGCACAGCCAGCAGAGGAGAGCACCGCTGTCTTGGAGACAGGACAAATGTGGGTACAGGTGGTCTCACACTTCAATAGGTCTGTAGGAGGGTCTGGTCAGAATGTTGTGAGTGTTCATGCCTCTGGACCTCAGGGTGCCCAGTGACAATGGACAAGTGTCATCCAGCAAGAGGTTAAAGAGGAGGTGGGGCTGGTTTGAGGAGGGGGCATGGGCGGGGGCTCAGGCAACAGCCCATCCTGAGACCTACAAGCCCACCTAGACCTGGCAAGCAGGTGCAGCCTCCCAGCCCCCTACAAGGCAAGGGCAGCCTGGAGGGGAGCGCAGGTTTTGAAATTAGACTTCCTGCGTGCCTGTCCCCACCCTCTACAGCTCTCCTAGCTCCATTACCCTGGATGAGTGGCTTTTCTCTGTTTCTCCTCATCCTCAAATATCACCAGGTATGAATTCTTGACCTTTCTAACGTCCCTCAAGTCTGCCCCTACATCTCCAGCTGATTCCACTGCCCTATCCACTCCTGCAATATGTTTCATCTGGAGACTGCACCAGCCTCACCCTTCAAGAATCACCTCCAGTAAAACTTTCCTTGGTGCCCAAAAGCAATCAATCAACCCCTCTTTGGGGCTCCCATAGCATCTTACACCATGCACTCTTCCTCCCTTCCCATCTTGTATCATTAGTTCTCATGTCAATCTCTTACCCTAGACTTGAAGGCAGGGACCGAGCAGCCTCAATCTTGGTGTCCCTCTTACGTAACCTAGGGACTGGCCCTAAGAGACATTCAGTAAGCATTTGAGGAAGTAAAGGATAAAAGAAGAGAAAAAGAATGAGAGAAGAGTCTGTTTTCCAACCACTGAACTTAGCCAGTGGAATGCTCCAAGTTAATAGAAGATTCATGAATAAAATAAAGGCAACAGGTCCCTCAGGAAAGATATCTGTTATCTGGGTTTTGTAACTCACGCCACCGCCAGCTCTCTGCATGGCCAGCCCAGGTCACTGCACGAAGGACTTCAACATTAAGGCAGCACCTTCCTCCCTCTTGGGAGGAAGAGGGGGCAACATACAGAAATGCTTCAGGAATTTCCAGGAAGTTTGGCTTTAGAAATTCTGGGGCTGGGCAGCCCCCATGGCGCAGCGGTTTGGCGCCACCTGCAGCCCGGGGTGTGATCCTGGAGACCTGGGATCGAGTCCCATGTCGGGCTTCCTGTAGGGAGCCCGCTTCTCCCTCTGCCTGTGTCTCTAAACAAAATCTTTAAAAAAAAAAAAAGAAAGAAAGAAAGAAGAAAAAGAAAGAAGAAAGAAAAGAAAGAAAGAAAGAAAAAGAAGAAAGAAAGAAAGAAAGAAAGAAAGAAAGAAAGAAAGATAGATAGAAAGAAAGAAAGAAAAAAGAATTCTGAGGCTACTTTGAATCATTACCAAGAGACTCATTCTCAGCTGTAAGCGTGGCATGCAGCGGGAAGGGGCACAGGATTTGAGATGAGTCCTGCTCCTCACTTGCCAGAGAAATCTTTGTGCATTTGGCAATGATTCAGGACCGTGGAGGCGTATGTGTGGTTGCTTGGGTGGGAAGGGGAAACAGGAGGGAGAAATGAATTTTTCACTCTAAACTCAATTGCTCTTCATTATCCACAGAGCCATCAGCCTGTGCATCCCACTCATGCATGTTCCTTTGAGCCTGAGAGACAGTGTTCAGGGACATGCACTGGGAATGGCCAGATAAGCCATTGTTGGATCATACGCTATGTGTCATATGTTGTGCAACATAAACCTCATGACTATTCTGTAAATCTTAGTTTTCTGATCTGTAAAATGGAGGAAATAGCTGCCTTGAAGAGGAGAGCCCTACTTTTATATATAGAAGTTCCTTACCACTAGCTGGCACTCATTTCTGAAGTCCTTCCATTAGTTCCCAAATGAAAAATTCATCCCTTGTCTCCAGGAATGGAAGAAGATCCTTCATTACTTTTTATGAGTGACTTACCAGCTGCATATCAAACCCCACTTAATGACATCCTCTCCCCTTTATACCAAATGGCTCAAGTTGAAGGCACAATAATAATTGCAGTAATGGTTGTAATGACAGTGAATTAATAGATCATTTGTGATTGCAACGGCTGTGGGAATGGTAAGGGAGAAAATGAATTCAGGTTAATAGATCAGTGAGGAAAGACACTGAAAAAAGCCTGAGAGCTGGTAGGGGGTGGGGAGGGAAGCAGATGGGGTAGGGGAAGTGTTGGGGAGAGCTGCGGGTGGGGGGGGGGCGTAGCCGAAACCAGCCAGAGGGGGTGGCTGCGGAACCTATCAGGAATGAGCTTCCTCCACTCAAGCC